CAACTTGGACACTGATGAGAAAGAAACTCAGAAAAGTCTGCAATTGAAGTGGCTACCAGTTATCTTGCACTTGCTTGTAACTGGATGTTGGCTGTCAAGATTTAGAGAGCGGTGTATGTATTGTACAACCATACGTCACTATAATGCATTAATGTCCAGATGTACTGTAGGCTCATCTCCTTTTTCTGTTTTTCAATCTCCTTTGTGATGGAGGAATGGCGACATGGGCAGACCTAAATAGTTGGAAGCCTCCAGACATAAATTTGCATAAAGGTGGCAGGAATTTTATCTTAACATCGCTATTTTGCCTACAGGATGACAAAGGCTGATTTTAATGGAAACTCCTGTGTCTGAGCAGCCTTATTTAGAGAGATCACTGCTCACCCAGATTCCTTGGGAGATGCTAGAAAAGATGCATCCAACATTGTCATCTTTTCAAGCTGGTTAGTTTACTGCAGTTGACAGCTGTTCATCATAGCAGGTACAAAGTTACTACAAGAAGCTCCAAAAGATATGCAAAAGAATGCATTTTTGCTGCTGGAACATAAAAAAAATGGTTGACCTCCAAATTTCTGACAGACCAGAGTGTAGAACTGCCCTTGTTAAAAAAGAGCTTCAGCGACTTAACATAGACATATCAGCATTTTCTAAAACACATCTATTTTATTAGGATCACCAAATAGAAATGAAATTGGGATACACTATTTTGGGGTTGGAAAACTGATGGGTGAGAAATGAGAAGGAATTGGCTTTACCATTTGCTTTTCTTTGGTTGGCAAACTTGACTGTCCCTCCAGTGTCAGTGACTGTATCATGAAACTGTAAGTTCCTTTGTCATGTGGACATTATATGACTGTGCTTTCTGTCTATGCCCCAACTTTCCAAGCAGGTGATGAGGCAATCATGCAATTGTACAGCATCCTACAGGAAACCATTACTAATATTCCCAAGGAGAAAAAATTGATTACACCTGGGGGACATTAAAACCTGTGTTGGAGGACAGGACGAGGTTTAGAATGCAATTGGTTGTTACAGTACTGGAAAAGTAGACAGCAATGGCTTGAATTTATTGCATATTTGTGATGAGTTCAACTTAGCTATCTGTAACACTTTCTTTCACCTAAAAGAGAAGCAAAAGGTAATATGGATCCATCGAAGATCTAAAAACAGTCATGAGATATATTTTATTGCCACTAGGAGGGATGATTTGAACAATGTCTGCAATGTCCTTGTGTTATGTAGTGCTGAGTATGATACTAATTATAAACTGGTTGGTGGAAAGTTCAATCTGCAAGCCAGGAGAAAAGTTTTTGTTGGTGCCAAAATTCCAAAGAATATTAACATGGCAAGGCTTAGGCAGTCTGCTATGTACCATTAGTTCTCAGATGCCTTTAGCAATGTTACCTGGCTCCTGGGAGAACTTCAAGGGCCAATTTTACTCAACTAGTGTGGATATTCTCAGGCTGAATGAGTGGAAACGTGTGTGTGTGTGTGTGTGTGTGTGTGTACTGCACAGATTTACATGAGAAAAACAGTCGTTTTTAAAACATTTATATATTATCTTTTATGCAACACGGCAAATACTGCATCTATGTATCTTACTGTCATGCATAGTCATTCTTCTTTTGCCAGAGTTGAATCTGTTAACACTTTTATCATTTTGCTAAGATTAACGGCTTTTCTAAAATTCTATTCCTCATATTAAAGTTGACCATGTCTCTTTGACATATTTGTCAATTCTGTTTGACAAATCTGTATAGAAATACGTTTGTTCAAACTTACTGCAATGCCAATGGTGTATTTAATATTTGAATATTTCTCCATAGCACTCAACATACTTGCTCTGTGAGCATGAATAATTCAAAACTCATTTATCTTCTAGTGATAATGTTAAGGGTTAAAAACTCCTATGTGATTCAATGATAGCTGAAGGTAATATTATATATACTGTTTCGTTTTAAGAAAACATCTGGTATTTATTGAACAAACCATTGCCATTTTTGGTTGGAATTTATAAAATCTTTTTTAAAGCAATTTTTCAGGAAAATAGGTTTCTCAAGTCCTTTAACTGTTTTAACACTTTCCATTATTTATAGGGCTTCCTTCCCAATTAGAAATAATGTTCAATATAAATGTTGTATGCCATTTCCTCTTTGAGTTTCCATGTGATATCTATTTTAGTTTGTATTGTTGTTCAAAGCCCTCAATTGATAAGATTTCTGTTATTTGGTACAGTTGACAAATTGGTTGCAGATATCTGACAGTTTATACATTTTTGAATAACTGGATGAGTTATATGTTATCTATATGAAAATCTTGATCTGTTATTTAAGAACATGACTTGAGATTTTAGGCTAATGTTTTGGCTTTGTAGTATTTTGTGGTGTTAGGTAAAACTACCTCTAGCACTGCCTATTTTATGTTCAATTAACTGGTCTACTACATCAAATTTGTTATAAGTGATCCATACATTTAGGTGTTTAAAGCCTTTTGTATTTACTAATTATACATTCTCTATTTTTATGATGGATTCAAGGTAGGTACCATCACTGCTTATATTAATTTAAATATGTGAAGAGCAGAGACTAATCTACCCAAGACAAGAACAAAACCTTATCCCTTTTCATTTGGTATGACTATTTAACTATCAAACACTACAATAGGTTTGGTTTGGTTTATTTTGTTTAATGGCATATCAACCTCAGTGGGTTATTTAATGCCAACAACATTTTTAGGAGAGATTCATATGAATAGAATATATATTCTTTGGTTTAGATTGGTTTGGTTTATTTTGTTTTACAGCATATGAAACTTTAATGCTGACAAAATTTTTTATTGCTGGTAATATTTTGTTTTGTCAAAAATCTGTTTCTGGTAATATATTTCCTTCAAAATTGTATTGCTGGTAATAATTTTTTTCAAAAAGTATTGCTGGTAATAGTTAACTATTTGCCCATAGCTGGGACCCTAACAGGTGCTACCACCCTGGGTCAGGGTGGACCTGGGAACACCAGCAATTAAGCGGTGGTTCCCTGCTCCTCAAAACCTCCTGATCAGAGGCCTTGTTGCTGGACATAGTTTAACGTCTTACCCAGGACACCAAACACGACAAGAGATGACTTTACAACATAAGAGATATTCACTCTTTCGGTTATGAATAGAACAAGATATTGTGAAGAGTAAGATTGATGGTTTCATTAAAAACAACCTAATAAACTATGATAAACAATTAAATACTAATTCCATTTTTAAGGCACTACCAAATGTAAAAATTCATGTACCGTTTTAATACATCTGAAATTGTCTGAGCATTGTTTGCCAATTTCACATCCTGAAATTTTATGATAGAATCAGGGTAAGTGCCATCACTGTATTCATAGATTCTATTTTGAAAGGTTAAAGGTTGGATTTTTCAAAACATTTTTTTTTTATCTAGTTACCACCAACAATATTTAGCCACTGACAACTCTTTTTTTCCACTGCTAAATTTATCTCAGAATAATCAGTTTGATGTGAAAGTTTGTAACATTTGAAGCTAAAATTTATTTATTTAAATAATTTCATTGCACCAAAGTATTTTGTTACTTTCTTTGAACTTACACCTTTTTTTCTTAATGAAATTTTTTTCTTCCATAATAATTTTAATTATGATTCAATTCATAAGCTTTCTTTAACTTGTTGGTAATTACTGATGAATATATTGGATGGAACAGGGTAAGTGGTAAATAAAACATAACAGGCCTTAATATTTATTAAGTAACGAAACTAAAATTACTAACCATAAAATTGCATTGAACAAATTGGTAATTGGAAGGTAACAGGTTTTAAGAATACATTACATGATAACATATCTCATACTAGCTAATTAAACACCACCAACCACTCGTGGTGATGGCGGGGGGGGGGTCTTGATTGGGTCCCTGAGCAGTCCTTGGTGACTTTTACTATTTTCTCAACATTTGCTTTTTTTGTACCTACATATATATGTATATGTTACAAATCAATGTGAGCACAGCTGACTATTAAAGGACGAAAAATTTTCACAGATTTTGATGTCATTCTGTGTGTCTTTTTTCCCCCCAAAACAAAAATTGAATTTGTTTTGCACACATTAAGTCTTGGAAAAACATCATGTACAATGGTACATGATGTTTTTTTTTATCCATAATTTTGAATGTATTAAAATTATTCAACTTCTTAACAAGAAAAATCAAAAATTGATATTAAAAATTGCTGCAAAACATTGTTGATTTATTTAAGAAATGAATGATCTATTATGACATGTCTAATTTGTATTTAGACATTGTATTTATTTTCAGTTTTTCTAGTTGAATTGTACATAATTAGATTACAATAAAATTTATATTTTATATGAATACTACTTATAAAAATTGAAATATAGTAGGCTCTTTTGATAGATTCAATGGAGGGCACGAGAATCTTGCACAGGCATTGATTATATATATATATATATATATATATATATATATATATATATATATATATATAATGATGGTTTGCTGCATCACATTTGCATGATAATGTGAGGAAAATCATCAATCAACTTCTTTCTTCAGGAAAAATGTGTTCTCTCTCTCTCTCACAATGTTTTATTTAGATAAGCTGTCCGATTTCTGTCTGAGGCAGGCAATTACTGAGCTAAAGAAAAGATATTCCTATTAGAATGAGAACAGTTTACCTTTGTAAATTAAATAATGGTTTAAGTTTGAAATACCCTCACTCTTATCTGGATTAACAGGCAACTGAAGAAGACCACAAAGAACAATGCTTGAAACATTGTGAAAATAAATAAAATGAAGACAATTCTTTGAATGTAAATAATGTAAACAAGTTGCTTGACTTCTTCAATTTCACAAGTTGTTTATGTCCTATCTTTAAAACTTCCTCTAATTTTATCAGGTTTTAAGGTCTTCCAGAATGTTCTTTTGCCCTTGGGCTCAAAATATCTATGTTTTTTTTTTTTTAAACTTATAAAATCAATGCCAAGGTAAACTTGCATCTGCTCCATCATTTCCAGAAGCTTCAATGATCCACTGTTTAATCTCAGCTGTACTTTTTCTCAGATTAGATAGAAAGAATAGAATGTGTCAAATGTGCATTTTATATTTAGTCAGGCTTTTCACGAGAATAAAATTCTCACTTTTCAAAAACAATTCATCAATGCATTTTATTTTTAAGCTGCTATTCAAACACAAAACAGAAATATCATCAAAATTTATAACTTTAGCCTCACAAACTATCATCACGATTTCTTTCTCTATCAAAATTTTTTTTTTCTTTCAACCCACGCATAGATTATTAATCTATAAGCAAGTCCTTGAGGTATCTGAGAAAGTCAAGCTAAGGCAGATTAACTGCTCATACTTTGTGCTAGCTTTTACTCTCACAATGACACACACTTTTTTAGTGAGACAGTTTTTAATTGTTTGTCAAAAGTTAGATAATCCGATAGAGACTTGAAATAAAATTCAAGTTTCACTTAATTGTTGAGTACATGTGCTAAATAAAAAATTTTGTTGCAAACATTTGATAGCACTATTTTAGGTCAAATTATGGTGTTGAGTTTGACATAGTATTTATAAGAAATATCAATTCACATGAATTATGAAGAATGCCATGATATGTAAATTTATATATTGTGTTCATCTTTATTCTAAACTAGTTTGTTACATATCACTTTACTTATGGCAAGATGATCAAATTGAGCATTTAATTTATTTAAATACCACATTTATTAGAAAATACATTCTGTTTAAATGCACAAGGCCACACATTTTGTCATATACTCTTTTCCTGTTAACCAGAGGTTGTTGTCAGAGAGAGGGGGTCATTTGCCCTCATATCACAAATGTGCCCATTTTGAGTTTCATTCAAGATTTGTGCATAAATGTTTGCATATCTGCATGTATATTTTAATTCAATGACAGATCTAAAAAGATTTCTGTAAAATTAAAAACAAATCCTTAAAAAAGCAATTCTATTTATTACCAAGTTTTTTTTAAAAAAAAAAAGAAAAAAAAAAGATTGTCCAGTTTACCTTTGTTGGTTGGGTTTCTATTTTCTAAAATCAATTTCACATCTGTACTTTTAACATCTCTGCCTAACCTTTGGAAATTTTATTTACTATTATTTTTTCACCTGTTGTCCGGTTCACACTCTTCCCCAGTCTTTTGAACAGGAATAGAAATTTCTCTTGATTTCTATTTAGGATTGGGTTTCCTTTTAAAATCTTTTTAATTCTCTTACACTCTCAGTAGCCTTTTTTTTTTATCTTAATGGCATTATCACCTAGATCAGGATGAATTGATTAAAAAAAAAATTATGCTTTAGGGTTTAAATTTTTTTTTTTTTTTCACTAACTTTATGATTTTATTGCTCAGTCCAGAGTAGTGGTTATACAGACTGCATTGGTTAGGAATGAGTTATTTCAATATCATTCAAATCAGCCATGTTTGTGTGTGTGTGTGTGTGTGTGTGTGTGTGTGTCTCTTTGTGTGGTGTGCATATTAAATGTCCCAGGAACACGTCTAAGTCAGTCATGAAGAAAATATATATATATATATATATATATATATATATGTATGTATGTGTGTGTGTGTGTAAATATACACACAAGTACACTACATATGCACATGCAAAATTACATATAATGTGTAATAAACATAGAATCAGCACTTCTTTTATAATATGGAATATTTGAAAAAAACAAAAAAAAACAGGGAGTTTTCTTTGGCTCAAGAAATGACTAATGTTTACAGAATTTCAAAGAATTGTCAGATATCCTATTTATTTCCTTTGGTGGCATGACAGTGTTGTTTTCACTGAGTGTAAAAAAATAAGAAGTTAGATGTAATAAATATTTAGGAGTCTGGCCTGAAAGAAAACTAGAAAAAAAAAAAGGATTATAAATGTGCTTGGGGCAGCAATTGTTAACTTTAATCCCAGCCCTATATCTTCCTTTATCCTCCCCCTTACTTGTTGATATTTCTGTCTTTATTTTACTTAAACTTTTTCATCTCCCAGTATTCTAAAATTTCTTGTCTTACATTCCCTTTTTTCTAATACATCTTTCCTTTTTTGTTTTCTATTTTGCCTTCTTTATTTCTCATTTGCTACCTCTGTTTACTCACGACTTTCATTTATTTTATCCTTTTCGCTATTTATTTTGAGCTTCTAAAATTGTTGCATAATGCAGTTCATCTTGAAAGGAAGCAACAGCTGAAAATTTCTTTCCTAAAGTTAATTCTTAGAATTTAAAAGTTTTATATTGGATTTCTTAGTGTAAAAAAAAAAAAAAAGGCATGAACATTTCTCTCCCTAATATAGTCTAACTTGATTTCCTATTCACATTCCTTCATCTATCTTCACCCTATTTACTCTAAGGTTTTTTTTTTTTTTTTTTTTTTTTTTTTTACACGCTTTTCTTTCCTCTCTTTCATAGTATCACTCCTCTTTTCTTTTTTTTTCCCTTTTTCCTCTTCATAATTTACCTCTTATTTTTTTTCATCCACATTCACCCTTCTCATACATCACTCATCCTATCCTCCTTTCTTTCTGTCATCTCTCATTTACTGATGTCTTTCCTCTTAGATACACTTTCTCTTTTGGCCTGTTTCCGATTTTTGGCCAATTACCAAAACTCTTATTATTCAAAATATTGTTTTGCTTACTGAATGATACCCTGTAATAAATTGCTTCTATTATTGTTTACTTTTTTTTCAGAATTTCCAATTTCTTACTCTGACTTTAAATATAAGAAAACAACAGTGAAATTTTTTTATTTGTTTAGAATTGATCTTTTTTGTTTTTGCCTTCCTTATTTTTTTTTGTTTGTTTCTCATTTTCAATTACAGCTCTTTTCCTCCAATAAACTTACTGTTTTAATTTTTTTAAGTTTTTTCTTTTCCATTTTGTTTCACTTTTCCAGCCTTTTCCTTTCAACTTTACACAGCATCTTCCTTTCTTTTCCTTGCAGTTTTATACAGCATCTTCCTTTCTTTTCCTTGCAGTTTTATACAGCATCTTCCTTTCTTTTCCTTGCAATTTTATACAGCATCTTCCTTTCTTTTCCATGCAGTTTTATACAGCATCTTCCTTTCTTTTCCTTGCAATTTTCTCTTCCAAATTTGCAGCTATTTCCTTTTTTTCATTTTCAATTTCCACAGCCTTTTTCATTCTCATTCATTTTTATTCAGCCTTTCTTTTTCCTTTCATTTTTACACAGTCTTTTCAAATCTTATTAACTTTTTATTTTTCCTTTTTCACTTCATCACAATCTTCCCTATTCCTTGTTTGTCTTTACGTAACATTCATTTTGTTTTTCACATTTACACAAACTTTTCTGTTTTTCTTTCCTTCTTCCTTTCTCTCTTGTAAATAAGCATTTCTATTTGCTGTTTTGCTTTACTTATCATTTTTTGTGTTCAGCTTTTCGCAAACGTATACAAAGCCTGCTTATTGCTGAGGTAGGAAACTTTCTACCAGTCTGAGAGTTTTATGTCCTATCCTAGTTAAAAAACAAAACAAAAAAATGAATGTTGCAAGGCAGGCATTCCTCACTTGGACAATGAGTGCAACAATTTATCTTCTAAATTGGCCTTGTACCAGATAAAGTTCAGTTTAATAAAAATACCCGAATTAGAAGAATGAATAAGAGTAGCCTGCTTCATGGCTGTTGTAGTTGCATACTGGCTCCAACATCTTTGTTAAAAAGCAAAATTTTGAGGGTGTATTTTTTAAGGAAGGATATCCCACCCAACTGGAAAGTTGGTGCAACACAATCTTCCTTTGTGTCACAGTTAAGTGTAGTAAATATCAATTATCTCTTCCCTCTCATTGCTTTTCATCTTGAAATGACTAACATTACATCTTGTGATGAATAGCCTAAAAACTAGTCATTTTCTTAAGGAGACATGTCAGATCAAAACATTCATATGAATGTCTTGCATAACACCAAAAACATTAAGAAATATATAAACTGTCAGCTCAATACAACTGCTCTCTAAGATCAATGATTAAAAATGACTGAGAGAATGAAACTTGCAGGTCTTAGTGATGATCCTCCTCTTTTGAACCTTGTGGGCTAGTGCTACAGAATCACAAACAAAGAACTGTATGAAATAACAAAAGCCGCATCACTTGAGGACTTTCAACAGCTAAAAGGGATAACACGTAACTCAAAGAGAAAATCATGACATAATCAAAATGTCATTCTACTCTACTTCATGTAAAAGTTTAGGAAGGAAACCACATCAATACTGGACTTGAGAAACCTATTTTCCTGAAAAAAAAAATGAGAAAGATTTTATAAAACTCATCTGGCAAAGGTACTGCCTGTTGGTCAATGAATACCAAAGGTTTCCTTTTAAGGAAGCAGCTAATATTTTCGTTATCATTCTTTGTCCTGAGCCAAAGAAAAAAAAAGTCTAGTGACAAGATTTGTCACTTTTTAAACTTCCTTTTTGCCTCTTTCTGATTCTGTTTCCCTTTTTTATCATTCTCTTTTTCTCCTCTAATCTCTACTGGCTTTCATATTGTCATACTTTTTCTTTTACTTTACATTGGTCTAAAGAACATTTAAACATCCCTATTTTTATCTTTCTTTTCTCTTTGCTCAAAGTTTACTCCATCAAACAATTCTTTCCTTATCACTATCTCTTTCCCTCTTTTCTAATCTCTCTTGTAAGTGTTAACAGGAGTTATTTGCCCTTTGGAAATCCTTTTCTCAAACTCACTACATAATATCAATGCATGCAGTGAATATAAGGGGGAAAGTTTGAAAAAAAAAAAAAACATAAAATGGCCTTTACATTGCATCATTGATGAACAAATTAGACTACCAACAGCATGCAAGTGTTTTTACATCCTCTTGTTGGTTATGGCATTTTATGAATGCTTTACCTCTCAATCATGTTGTTTAAGGACTATGATTTTTGTAGTAAATAAATATTTAGTGCTAGAAAGAAAGTAGTTATGACTAATCTCTTTAAATTGTTTTATCTATGCCCAAGTCAAAAAGTATTTGTAAAGTAGAGAAAACCTGTTAAAATGAAGAGACATATCTTACACTGAATTGGTTGTAAGCTGTAATCATTCAATACAGGTTTTATACTGCACCAAGAAAGGGTTGTTTGTATCCAATGGCAAAACAATAAAACTTTTCTGGCCATCTGTGTCTTATATAGTCATTATAGTAAACATCGATCTGCTATGATTGGTCAATAATCAAGTGGCACTATTCCTATGCAGATTAGTGTCTGCCATATTATGCAAATCAGTCAATGGGGCCATCTGTATTAATCAACCATATTTCTCCAGGCAAAATCAGAATGAAAGACAAACTGAGTTACACCAGACATATTGGAACAGGGTTTCTTATCCTTCTGGTCTGTTATTTTCCCAAATGGGTTATAAAAATTGTTTGTGCTTTGGATGATGATAAAATTAATGTGAAAGTTTAAACAAAATTTCGTTTTGCAAGAAAGACAGAGACAAACTCGTATTTTCTTTTTCATTATTTTCATTTATTCTTTTTACCACCATTTATCTTTCAGTTCCTATTCAGCAATCGCATTACCCATCTTCTGTATACTTTAGAACATTCTATTGTCTTCGCATATCTCCCATTTCCAAGGTGTCTTCTCGTATCTTCCTTTGTACAATTTTTCTGGCTCTACTTTTTCCCATTGTTTTGTCTTATTCTTTTTTTGAATTGACTTCTTGTACCACTCTTTTGCCAATTTTTTTTTACAATTGATTTTTAGTAACTTTTTACTATTCCATTTTAGCTTCTCCTTCTTCCAATTATCAGCTCATATTGTCACCAATTATTTCCTTGGATCTCCTTTTGTCCACTCCTTCTACCATCCTTTTATCCCCAAGCTCTATCCTCCTAACCACTCTTTTCCCCTCTATCCTCCTAACCACTCTTTTCCCCTCTATCCTCCTAACCACTCTTTTCCCCTCTATCCTCCTAACCACTCTTTTCCCCTCTATCCTCCTAACCACTCTTTTCCCCTCTATCCTCCTAACCACTCTTTTCCCCTCTATCCTCCTAACCACTCTTTTCCCCTCTATCCTCCTAACCACTCTTTTCCCCTCTATCCTCCTAACCACTCTTTTCCCCTCTATCCTCCTAACCACTCTTTTCCCCTCCCAGCACTCTCCTCCTAACCACTCTTTTCCCCTCCCAGCACTCTCCTCCTACCACTCTTTTCCCCTCCCAGCACTCTCCTCCTACCACTCTTTTTTTCCCCATTGTTTTTCCATATATTGCTTCTTTCCAATTCTTTTCTTGTATCTATTTTTTTCAAATGTTTTCTCATTTCACTCTTTCCAAATTGGCTTTTTGTAGCTCCCTTTATCCAATTTTTACTTGTATTTCTCTTATCTAATTTCTTTCCATATCCAGTCACACTTTCCTCATCTTCCTCTTTTATCCTCATATGCAATTTTTCTGTGCCCACCTTTCCGATACAAAACACTCATTTCTTTTACAATTTGATTACTTTTTCCACTTTTTCTCCAACCTCCATCCTATCAGTTTTCAAACTCAACCTCTTTCTCATTATATCTTTGCCTAATGTAATAGTTCACATTTTTATCACTCAGGCCAGACAACCAAAAGAAGAATGGCAACTGTCATTAACAATGATAGTGTCAACAATATCAGACTAATAGTATTAAACAAACCATATGCAAGACATAATTTTGTAAAAAGTGTAACATCCTTCATATTACCTCTGAGGGAAAAACAAATAGTAAAAAAAAAAAAAAATCAAATAAGCCGGAGAAGAAAATCTCTTTAAAAGAACTGTTTTTGGTGATATCAAGTCAGTCAATTCTTCATGGTTAAAAAAAAAAAGGATTTCAAAACAAAAGACTGAGAAGATTTTAGCTTTGGTACTATACTCTTTTAACTATGTCTTTTACATTGTTTCAGAACATGGATGATAATGGCTCTCCATAACATGCTATCTTTTGTTAGTCAAACTTTAGAGCCTTTACTACACTTCTTTGTCATAGTTCTGCTATTCATTCACACAAATTCATGAAGTTCTTTCCTCATGCTTCTTTTGCATTCACTATGTCCTGTGAGTGTTAAATTCTCCAGACTCTTTCCTAATTTCCAGATTTTTATTTGATTTTGCTATTAAAAGAATTCTCTTCTTTTATGTGTCTTTTACTCTGTAAATATCTTTTGACCTTTTAACATCCAGCTTTGTCCTTGTTGCACCAACAACTTATAAAATTGGTATCCCACTATTTCACTTAACTTTAATGTCCTTTGAGTGCCAGATTCTCCAGGCCCTCTTTCCTCATTATGTGTCCCAGAAATCTCAAATGCCACTTTCTGAATGCAAGTATCATTTTCCTTGTAGTTCTTATTTTCTTGAAGAATTCTTTGTTGCACACATGTTCTGTCTTTGATTTTCTTAGGATTTACTGGGAGAACCACATCTTATTTGCTTCAAAACTTCATCTGTGAAAAGACTGTTCAACATCCACTGCCATATTGGAGATTAGATATTACATAGATGTTCAAAACTCTTTTACTTGTTTCTCAGGATATTTTTAGACATGGAACAAGAAAGGCAATATTTATACTCAGAATGATATCAGAAAGAGCAATACACAGAAAAAAATATATACTGATGTTTTATAGATTATGTAGAAGCTTTTGGTAAGTTACAAGATAAAGAACTATTTGAACTCCTAGGTAAGCTTGACTTATTTGTGAAGGATAGTAGAATAATCAAGAATATATACTGGGAACAAACTGTCTGCCTACAGATATAAAATGAATTCAGTAAATACATAAAAATAGAAAGGGGTGTAAGATGAGGATGTATAATCGCATTGGAATTCAATCTTTACAGTGAGGTGATCCTAAGAGAACTAGAAGTCCTACCAGGATTCATTACTGGCAGCCACAATCTTAATGATATAAGATATGCAAATGACACAATGTTGATAGTAGATATGGAAAGGAAACTACCGAAACTCCTAGATAAGATAGTCTTTTTATATTATTTACAGTGGTGTTCATCTTGTATAAGGCTCTGGAGCCACTTAAGGTAGAGGGTTATGGAATAAGAGGTACAGCTTATGCGGCTATGTGGAGAAGATAATGGTTAACCTTAGACTTGAACACGTTAAAATTGTAGTGATCGAAGATGATGACGCTTAGGAGTTGGTTCCACAAGGGAGTGGTTTTTGGGAAGAAGCTTATTAAACAGAACTTACAAGGTGCTATGAAAGGAATGAGGGTGACTCGTTTATGGCATGGCACCTCTTAGCCATGAATGTTAGGACCAGCAGAACTAAAGAGTGTAGTTCATCTGAGCATTCATCATGCAAATAGCGATAGAGGAGTGAGAGGCTTGTGATGTTTCATCTGTGTGAAATGGGTTGCAGAATGGAAGATAATGTGTTGCCTACAAGGATGAGGAAACGTTTTTGAAATCTATAGAGAATGGAAAATGAAGACAGTGAAGCTCTCATTCGTATATGGCAACAGTACTTCATTTTCATCCTGATCTAGCTCTTCTAAGAATAGAGGATAGCAGGAGGAGTGAGACACTTGCTGAAGAGGTACAGGGAACTGATCTTTTTCCTAGCATTTTCCATGATGGATTTTATGTACAAGTTCCACTGAACAAGAAGAAAGGACTAACCATCAATTCTCAGAAGACAAAATGTATGATCATTAGCAAGAGGTACAGCCAAAGGAATGTGAAAATAAACACTATCCATCAACTGTCAGAAGACAGAAGGTATGGATGTCAGTAAGAGGTACAACCCAAAACATAATCTATAAATTAGAAATGCCAAAATCAAGCAAGTACACAAATTCAAATATTTATGAAGTGTTATAAGAGTAGATGGAAATCTGAAGGCTCATTGGCGTAGTGAAAGATGTTTTCCAAAGGCTAAGCAAATTATTAAGAAACAGGAAAATTTAGTTACAAACAAATGAATGTGTGCTATATAATATGCATCCTCCTATATGGCAGTGAATGCTGGACAATTTCCTCAGAGATGAAGATGATATTTGAGGCAACAGAGATGTGGATGCTGAGAATACTGTGGAATGAAAACAGTAACAAAGAAATTTTAAAAGAAATGGCAACAAAAAATGATGCTTATAACATGAATCCAAAAAAGACAGTTGAAATTTCTAGGACAAATAATGAGGAAGGAGGGCTTGGAGAATTTGATGCTTACATGACATATTGAAGGGAATAGGAAAAGAGAGAAACTGAATGATATTTCTAATGAGCTTCTGTAAATAGATGGTAGAATAGGGAGTGAGAGGGATGGTGAGAACAGAAAGGATAGGAAGTTGTGGAGAGACATGATCACCCACATCATAAAGAGACATAGCATATGGAAGAATACATTGTTTACTTTCTAGAGAATGTCTTTTTCTATACCTGTACAATAGAGCTTTCCAAAATATAAACAATAATATGGAATTGGAATGGAACTAGTGATGGTATATACTCAGAATTCTTCAGAATTCTTCAGATAAATCCAGATAATGGAATTAGTATATACTGAATACTTCAAATCCTTTGATGTATAGATCAGTTATGACAAATTTTGTATAGAAGATAAGGAAATTAAAAACAGAATAGGGCATGCTATGTATAGTTTTGCTGCAAACTGCAAATTGAACCTAAAATCTTCTGTCAACTTTGATTGGGTTATTTAATGCCGACAAGATTTTTATTCCTGGTAATATTTTTTCCTTCAAAAATGCGTTGCTGGTAATAATTATTTTAAAAAAATTGTTGCTGATAATATTTTTTTCCTTCAAAAATGCATTGCTGGTATTAAAACTTAGTTTTAGAGTTAAGTATTTGCCCACAGTTAGGACCCTAACAGGCGCTACCACCCAAGGTCAGGGGGAACCTGAGAACACCAGCAATGAAGAGGTGGTTCTATGCTCTTCAAAACCTCCTGATCAGAGGCCTTGATGTTGGATGTAGTTTACTGTCTTACCCAGGACATTCTAAAATCTTGTGTCTTGTTTTTAAATAGCTACATTAGATTAAAAGTTTCATATTGATCACATACATGGCACCAAACTTGTTCAGGAATATCAGAGCTGTCAGTTGTATAGAAATGCTTTCTCAAATCAATGGCTAAAATGATTTTGAGCAAGCGAAATGTTGTGTAGGTCTTGTCATGGACTATCCTTCTTCATACATCATGGACTGGTGGTACAGAATCACAAAAAAGAACTTCACACAATAACAAAAACGACATCACTTGAAAATTTTTCAACAGTAGCAACAACTATAATGGGTAGCACATATAACATGAAGAGAGAATAATGATATCATCAAGATGCTGACATTCCACACTACCACAAACAAAAGGCAAGGAAGGAAACTCCAGCTAATACTGGAAAGAGCATTAACAGTTACTGGAGTTGAAGTTATTGTTTTGGAAAAATTGTTTTAACACATTGACTCTAAGGCCTTATTTCTTTTGTTGTCCAAGGCCCCAACACTAGATCTTAATTTATTATGGTACAAGAGACTTTATGTTTTAACATTGTTTCATATATGAGGGAAGGATATCTTGGGTATTATTTATTACCTGTGACTCATTGGTGTGTCATTCGGTACCTGAGTCTCTGTGTATGTAAAAATAAAAAATAAAAATTACCCCCCACCACCAAAAAAAAAAAAAACTGTAGAAATTCCAAAAGGAAAACAACATAAAAGACAAAAAAATCCAAAATATCAAAATTCTTTTTTGGTGTACCATGATCACATAAGCAATCAATGATAGCATTCTGTTCCCAATAATCCTTACAGAAAAAAAATTGGAAAACAACCTACCAGAGGGTCATGTGGGCCTTGCAGACATACCAGCACAACCCTCTGGTTGGTCATGTGGGAGCCAACATGTTAAGAAAAAGATTTTATAATTTTCATCTGACAGTAGTAATGTCTGCTCGGTCAATGAATACTGAATATTTCCAGATAAGTAAACTGCTGATATTACCATTACCATTTACCAACATCTTTGATAAATAGTATCATACTTTACCAAGTACTATGTTTATATATTAGTCAGTATTATTCGATTTATTTTATTTGTGACTGTTAGTTTCCTTCAGTTCTTATTTTCCTTCTTAGTGTCCTACTACTTTACAGTTTATTAAAATCTAATTATGTTCAGATATTTAAGAGAAGTATAAATTTCATTTCTATGCTACTATTTTCTGTTTTCTTTTCTATGGCTAGGGAGAGGTCAATTGATAGACAGAATGAATGAGATGTACTGACTGACTGACTGAAAATTCCTAATAACATCTACCACTTATTATTGAGTTAC